CCAAATGTAAAATCTCTTGTTTTTTCTTTGTTTCTTTTCCTTTTTTTTTTAATAAATTCCTTGGCGACCATTCCGCTAACTTGTAGTGGGAGTAGGGCGATCTACCTTATAAAACTATCACTCTCATTGTCGTCGGAAAGTTGAATATTTGTCAGATGGCATTCTGTGTCCGCCTTTCAACAAGTAAGCTATGCTAAATTTCGTACTTTTTAAAATTTACATTTTTCTTTTCTGTAATTTTAACTTTTTTGATTTTATTTAACTTTAATTTTTTATGATAACCTTCAATGTAAATTTATGTCCATCTGGTGCGACTTATACTAAGTTAAGACTTATACTCAATACTATTTCTATACCCCTATGCTCCCCACTGAATACAGTAGGAAATGATGAAGTCTTGAACGATGGACATCTGAATATACCCTCCCCCATCTCAGGGGCAGGACGAGCTCTTTAGTCATGGTCGACAGTCGCCCTGAGCTGGTATCTTGAACAAAATTGCCGCTTGGCGGTCAAGGATAAAACGCAAAAATTACAAATCTCAATGCTTACAAACAAATACTCATACGGGATCGGCCGCCACCCGGGTAAACATGGGCCGTGTCCCTAAGAGAGGAACCAGTCTGGGGCCGAAAAATCTGTCACTGGAACAAACTCTTCCAACAATTATAAGATACCTCGTTTTAACTTTTTCCTTTCCATCTTTTAATTTCATTTTTAATTTAAAATTTTTTTCAGCATTTCCAGCTTTCTACCGAAGCATAGTGTATCTTTGTCGATGTGTCTATATAGTGATTTTCCAAGCGTAGCTTAGATGTGGCACAAGGCCGAATGTATGGGGTACCCAGTGAGAATCAAACTCACTTCTCAGTCGTAAATGTTCTAGCAAGACAAGCTTGCTAACCATTACACCACTTCGAGGCGGTATATACATGTATGTACATGTATGCGTATGGGTAAGGATCGTATTGGCTGATTACCTGTTTTTCCTTTTATTTTTTTTGTTGATAACCCCGAATGTATGCCCACCTCTGACCTTTCATCTAATCGTGGTCATTGCGACTTATACTAACTTAATATTTATTATGGTCAATATCATTTCCATATCGCTATGTTACCTCCCTGAATGCAGGTATTAGATGATGAACTCTCGAACTCTGGATATTTGAATATACCCACCCCCTATTCTATAGATAGGACGAGCTCTGTAGTCTTGGTCGACAGTCGACCTTGAGCTGGTATCTTGAACAAAATTACCGCTTGGCGGTCAAGGATAAAACGCAAAAAATACAAATCTCATTGCTTACAAACAAATACTCATACTGAATCGGCCGCCGCCCGGGTTAACATGGGCCGTGTACCTAAGGGAGGAACTAGTCTAGGGCCGAAAAATCTGTCATTGGAACAAACTCTTCCAAAAACGAAGAGATGCTTGGTCACCAAACCAGGTCTATTTCCAACCTTGGACCAAGTGACTGAATACCAAATCAACTAATAAAAACGAAAGCGAACGAAATGGTCTCGCGAAGAGTATCAACAAGTCATAACATCCTTTTTCACTGCACTCGACAATCCAGAAAAGAAAACCACGAATCAGACAAATATGGAGAACTATGGTCGGAAGTGAAATAAGATTTTATCTCAAACATACTCGCCAATATCCGCAGGGACATCGTGCGAAACAAAAGACTCTCAAGATCATAGATCAGATAAAACTTGATATCAGGACAGAATGGAATAACCCACCACTCAAACAATAAAGAGATGAGAGTAGAAATCATACTTATTATAAAACCCAGGTTGTGTGTGTGTGTGTGTGTCTGTACGACGTTTATATATTGGATCGGATTTCCTACATTTTTCAACCGATTTCAACAAAACTTCACAGGACTACGTAAAATTACCTTGCGGTGGTTCTGACAGCGCCAAGAATTGGAGAAACACAATTGTTTTTGCACGAAATCAATTTGAAAACACGATAAAATACGATTCTGTCGCCAGAATGAAAGGGGGAAAAACACAATTGTTTTTGCACGAAATCAATTTGAAAACACGATTAAGAGGCATCGCCAGAATGAAAGGGGGACAACTCATATCGAGTTATACTTATTATAAAACCCAGGTTGTTTGTGTGTGTGTGTTCGTTTATATATGGGATCGGATTTCCTACATTTTTCAACCGATTTCAACAAAACTTCACTTTTTTTTGGCAGGTAGTGTTTCTTATTGTCTTACACACTTTTTTCTTTATTTTTACATCCAGAATGCTTTAAAAATTCCATTTACAAGACAATTGCTTATAATAAAATTCTATTCAATTGGTAGACTCATAACGATTGAAAACAATGTTTTTGTTTGAGTTTGGGTTTGACCAATTCGTACCCCCCCCCCAAAAAAAACTAATTAAGACATGCGTGTCCGTCAACCTTAAACAATAATCTTTGTCAATTTTATTTTTCAGTCTTTATGATGGTGGATACTTGATCTATCTCTTAATGTTACATCCCGGGCAACGCCGGGCTCTACTGCTAGTTTAAAATATATGACAGAGGATGAGTTAAAAACTAAAATAAATGAGATACGAAATAATAATCTCCCAGGAAATAAAACCTAGAAATCTACATGTGATATAACCTGTATTGATCACATTATGCCCCCGAAGATGAGTCGAACTAGATTTGGGTAGAATTCCTTGAAAACAATAGAGATGAATTTACCGAAGTGTGAAACCACATCACCCTATTACTCTGCAGAGTAATTCTCACACAAATGTCAGACGGAGACCAACTCCCAAAAATTCACATGACAAAGTCCAATAAACACATTGTGCAAACATACAGCGCTACCCTGCAAAAACTGTTAACGGACAAACCACTGGGAAACATCACAGAAATAAATAACGTTATATACGCAACAGATTTAGAAGCTATTAGGAAGCTTGTGGTCAAGACAATGAAAAAGATCAAACAACAGACAAAAAGAAACAGCTTGTCAGGAAAAATTGATGCGAAAAATAAAAGAAATCAGATGTGAGATATCGATATTAAATGAGATCATAAGCAAACCCGAATGTCTTAACAAATATATCAAGCGGAAATATAAAAATTAAATCACTAAATGAAATTCCATCAATCAAGGAAATGTTAAAACAGAAATTGCAGTTAAGGGCATAGTGAACAAGACGATACAAAAACCGATGTCGGTTCTATCGCCAAAATAAAATATTCCAAACAGATCTATCTATCTATCTATCTATCTATCTATCTATCTATCTATCTACAGAATGTGATGGGTAAATTGTCGTCAAATTACGTAAAAAAGAAAATAACAGACATCTCACTTTTATTCAAAATTAGCGACTAAATTTATTCAATAAAATCTTCATTGGATTCAATCACGGCCTCCAGTGAATTCGGAATCTTCTAGAACACTTCTAGACGTCTCTTTGATTAAGTTGGTGAATACTTCCATAATTCTTGCCTTCAGATCATCTTTGGTTTTACAAGGAGTTTTGCTGGTCTCTCACTCAACTGCGTCCCACACTTAATAATCAAGAAAGTTGCAGTTTGAGGAGTTAGGTGGCCAGATGTAAGGAATAGTGTGGTCGTAGAAACTGTCTGACAGCCATGACTGGGTTCTCCTGCTTGCCAGACAAGGTTTCCAGCAGCCACCCTCTTGACCCAGGGCAGCACTACCTCCCTGGCTATGGACTTGTTGATTTGCAGGGATTGTTGTCAATCATGGCCTAGATCTCATTAACAAATTCGGGAGTTCTTCACTTATCAGAGCGATCAGAGTGAGTTTTCCGAGCTGCCGTACCGTCGTAATCAACATTAGTGATATGTCCCGGAAAGGGATATATTTGAACGAAGTAGCTAAGTGGTTTTGGCTACTATAACCAAGTAGAATATGGTATCAGTAATCGACTGGTAAGCGTCGTAGTCGCAAGTAAGAAGTGTAGATCAATGGCGTAGTCCAATGGGCGTCGTTATAGACTTAGCTCTCAGACTAAGGTTCTGACTCTGTCGCACCTACACATCCGTCGGTATTTATGACGGACACCAGCCAATCATATTCCATTGAGGGGGAACATAGGTGTACGCATATTCCATTATATCAATTAGACAAATCCCGAATCCTCTGCACCGTCTTCAGATTGACACCCAAACACTCTGAAATGTTCATACTGGAGATTCCAACATGAATGCTAAGCTGTACAGCATGCCGTTTCCAAATTTCTGGTGGATTGAATTGCATCATAGTGATCATTTTCTCACAGACGTGGCCCAACTTACTCTACTATACTGCGGAGACGACAAAACCAAAAACAAACAAAGCGCATGCGCGAAATTAAAAATATAAAATGGTGACAATTTTTCCATCACACTATGTATCTATGGATATAACATGTCGCGCATCTCAAAGTCGTGCTAGCAGTAAGACATCATATACAGTATGTGAATATTTATCTATCTCTCGAACAGATAAGTGCAAAAACATTGTATATCTGTCTGAAAAATGCGTCAACGATTATTTGTTCTTGCTTGAGAACGTAAAAGAAGAAGGGAGGAAGAAAATAAGATGCAAAAATGATTTCAAGCTTGCGTACACATTGTGTGTTCGTATATGTTGAGATATGCGTATGATTGTATTTGTGCATAATATTGTACTATGTGACACAAAACAGTAGACTGCGTTCTCTACGAAGGGAAAAAAACAAAACAAAACAAAAAACAAGAAAACTGAAAAGACAAGACGACAGGAAACCAATGTTTTACTACATAACAAACATGAACTTCCCTTTTAAGCTGCCTCGAATAAGGATTCCTTTGTGGATGACAGTTGGAGTGTGCAAAGTTCGCACAAAAGCTAAATAACAAATCTGGTGATTTATTTTCATTAAAAGAATCTATATATCTATCTATTATTTCCTCGGGTTTCTGTGGTATAAACATTTCCTTCCGGATCCCAAATAGAGACCTAAGGTCAGAAATGGCTTCATGACATTCTGCACTGATCATTTATCTAAACCCCCGCCCCCCCCAATCTATCTATCTATCTATCTATCTATCTATCTATCTATCTATCTATCATCTATCTATCTATCAGTCAGCCAAAGTGTTATTTATGCTAGGTGGAGAGATTTACAAATTATTAACAATGAAGCCTAGGTGAAGGCCATGTTCCAGTGTTTGGCGTCAAATGATCTGAAAATTTGACATTTCCAGTGATCATTTATCAACCACCTGGTGGCAAAAAAACACTTTAAGACCACATACATTTCAGGTAGATAAAGCCCTTCGTAACGTGTGAAATGTACTTGTGAATACAATTTATTTTGTATTTCTTTAAGGCATGGGCTACCAAGAACTCCTGCAATAACTCTATTGGAAACTTTTCCAATCAATCCGAGTGCTTCAACTATAACTAGAATTATTGATGTCTTCATGTGACACATTTTTTGAGATTTGTACTTCTTGTATTTTTATACTTTTTTTTTTTTTTAAAGATTTTCATAGATACATTGCAATCTGCAGGAATGCACATTCTTTTCTTGTGGTCTTTCATCTCGATGTCTAGGTGATTAGCTTTGGTTGTTCTGTCTGTGTGTATTGTAAAGTCCCATAAGATTATTATTATTGTTGTTGTTTTGTTGTTATTAGTATTAATGGACTTTCGAATGTTAAATACATACTTTTTTGACCCTGATCTGGCATCTCGTCTACAGTCTCTCTCACAGACGCGCCGTCGCCTCTCTCTGTCTTTTCTACAAATACTTTCATGGTAATTGCTCCGCTGAGCTGCTTTCACTGCTTCCCAGACTCCATGAATTCAAGCGCCCTACGAGGCTGGCATCCCGCTCTCACCCTTACACTGTAGAAACTTTCAAATGTAGCCGTCTCTTCTACTCCAATAGCTTCATACCTCGCACCTCTCGCCTGTGGAACACCCTTCCCAATTACTGTTTCCCTGAGAGCTATAATCTCCAACTATTCAAATGTAATGTCAATCGACATCTCCAGTTACCTTGATCTACCCACTATCCTTCTCCTCATCCTTTTTTCTATCATTCCCATCTGCTCTCGCTCCAAATCTTCTGCAACCCTCTGCATCCTAGTGGCTTCACGCCTTGCTCGGGGCGTAATGTTTAAAAAAATAAATAAATAAATATGAGATAATTATAAAAAAAATCAGACGTTAATCACCACTCTCCTAATGATAATGACAGTTAAATTCTACTATTCATTTTCAACATGAAACAAATCAAGTCAAAGTGAATAAATTTAAAGTGAATAAAATAAAATAAAAAAAAAAAAACATCGCTAACGTGTTACGTAACGTCTTAACTTAACAGATTAAGAATTTGATGACATAACTGGGATCTATTTCGAAGTATAGCCACAGATCAAACATCTCGGGAGTAAAACATTATCCGCGTTTCTAAACGGCCATTGAAGGCTGCGATTAGTCGAATGAGTGTTGTGACGTCAACGGGACACAGTGTTTCCCTTGGAGACCAGAGTTTTGAAGAAAGATCAAAGTGATAAGACAAGAAATCGAAATGTCATCCAATCTCTATTTTAGATACTTGTTTGATCGAGAACAATCGAAGTATAACTCCTGGTCATCGAATTGACATATGTTCATTTTCATTAGTTGTTTGTCATGTGATCATTTGAAGATAATGGGAAAGATCAAGTCATTTGCACTGAGAAAACGCACAGTAACATTAATAGTGGTATTGTTGTCAATTCATTCTTTCAAGTATTCTCTCTCACCTCTCTCTCTCTCTCTTTCTCTCTCTTTCTCTCTCTCTTTTTCCTATCTCTCTCTGCGTCCATATCTATCTATCTATCTATCTATCTATCTATCTATCTGTGTGTAGGGTGTCTGTGTGTATTTAGGCAGCATATCTTCCTTCGAATAGTATATAGACATATTGTGTCTACTTATTTTTATAGTGATCCTTTTCAATTCTCTAATCAACTTCTTGATGTTAAGATGAAATCCATCCAGGAAAGCTCCGAAACTTGTAGTTTTTTTTGTAACCCATGTATTTTCGATCTTTTTTACTGATCCTTTTCAGTTCTCTAATCAGCTTCTTGATGTTAAGATGAAATGCATATATATATATATATTAAATACAAATAGATCACTTTTAGAAAATCGTAACGCAGCTCATGACATCACACATGACCACGCGAGAGTGAATTCCTGAAGTATGGGAAACCGTTGGTATGTATGAGTGAAAAATGCTGCCTAAATACACAAATATATATATATATATATATATATATATATATATATATATATATATATATATATATATATATATATATATATATATATATATATATATAAGATATATATTATATATATATATAGATATATATTATATATATATATAATATATATATATATATAAATATATATATATATATATATATATATATATATATATATATATATATATATATATATATATATATATATATATATATATATATATATATATATATATATATGTATATATATATATTTAATATAAAAGATATGGTGCTTTGATGTAGTTTTTATACAATTTCTCATGATCTAATAATTTTTCTTTTTCAGATGATAAATTATATAAAAACTGTCCGTATGTTCTTTTTCTTTTTTCTGCGCTTTTGGCAATACATTTAGCCATTTTGAAGGTTGAAATATATTAACTGTTAACAATAAATAGTTTGTTGCATGTATGTATTCATATAATGTTTTCATTTTCAAAACACAATCAAGATATTGTGTCCATGTTCATAGTTGATATTATTCAGTGTTTTTTTTTTTGCTTTTATTAATATACTTCCATTATTTTTAGCATTTTTTTGCATGTAGATGATACAAATATATTTGTGTTGTCAACAAGTATGTTGAGAATTGGATCCAGTAGGTTTCCATGAGTATTTAAATGAGACCTAATTGAGCTAAGATCAGGAAGATGTAGTGTGAGTCTTCTTGTCAAACCTGTTGTAGTGTGGCATATATAATAAATTTCCGAATTATGATTGATCAGGAATACAATTCTTTAATGGACATTTAAATTCGTAAATAATATTTGTCCTATTTAATTTTGTTCTAAGAGTTGAATTATTATTTTTAACTATAAAGGTAGAGGTTTTAAATTTTTTGTAATAAATAATTAATCTATATTTTTTTTTGCTATTGTCAACTGGTGTTGTTCATTTTTTTATAATGTTCTTAATTTTACTTTCATCTTGTTTATAATTTTTCGTTCATTTGATTTTTATAAAAAAATATTAATGTTATTGTTCATGTTTCTATTCTCGTCGTTGTTATTAGCTACCTTATTTAAACGCCTAATATGGAAATTGTTTAGGAAATACGTTATTATTAATCGTTTGCTTTACGTTGTTTAATTCTTTAAAGAAAAGCGTGCGAGAGGATGAATTCTCGTGCGCTCTCTTCGGGAATTTTTTATAACGCTATGCTAACTTGTTAACAGTTAATATATTTCAACCTTGAAATTGCCTAAATGTATAGCCGAAAGCGCTCGGCTAAAAATATAATTTATCATCTGAAAAGAAACAAACTATTAGATCACATGAGAAATTGTATAAAAAACTAAATCAAAGCAACTTGTCTGTCGTATTCAATGAAATGTGGATGAAAGAAGGATTGCTGCCTAAATACACACACAAAGACACTCACAGACAAACACAGACTCACAGACACACACACAGACACAGACACACACACATATATATATATTTGGATTGGTGTGAGTTTGTGACCTTGGGTTTTACGCTATTTCCGTTTGTCAGACAAACTAATTAATTTTTAAATTTTGGATTTATATATGGTTGCGTATATCGGTGTTTTTATGCTAGCGGGAGGAAAAATTGTCGTCGGAAACACACCCATACGTATGCAGACATACATACATACACGCACGTTTACGCATTGTAGCTCGCATAAACATAAACATATATGAATAGTATGAGCAATGACGAAGTTTTAGAGAAATGGAAACAAAATGGACACTTACTTAAGATCAGAAAGTGACAGTTGGAATTTCTAAGGCAAATAATGAGGAAAGAAAGCTTAGAAAATTTGACACTCACAGGATATATTAACGACAAGGGACAGAAGAAAGCAGTGCATATTCTACATAACGAGTAAATTGTTGACGGAACAAGAATTAGGAGAGATAGCGAAAAGTCAAAATTTAGTAAGAGCTACAAAGGACAGGAAATTGTGGAGAGCCATGAAGGGACATGGCACAGATGTTTAGCTATTTTTTAAGGAGTTGGGCGCCATGCATGATATCTATGTAATAGCCTTGAGCTGACGAGGCCATTTTAGAATTACGAGCCAAAGACTTATTTCTGACAAAGGACTGGAGACCAACGAAGCCGAAGAAGAAAAGCTGAAAGAATATAATGGCGGACTTTCTTTTGAAGTCAATGCGGTGAAAAATATTCATATTTTGAGGTAGTTATGAATGTAGTCCACTAAACTCAGAAGCAGATGCGTTTAAAAATATTGCACTAAAATTTGAATTGAACTAAAAAAAAGTAGAGGAAATGCATAGGCTGGTTTTATTCAAACCGAGTATATACGAAAAATACCGGACGATGACTTTAAAATTATATATATATATATATATATATATATATATATATATATATATATATATATACATACATATACACACACACACACATATATATATATATATATATATATATATATATATTATAAATTAATTGATTTTAAAATATATGTATATATATATATATATATATATATATATATATATATATATATATATATATATATATATATATATATATATATATATATATATATATATATATATATATATATATATATATATATATATATATATATATATATATATATATATATATATATATATATATATATATATATATATATTTATATATATATATATATATATATATATATATATATATATATATATATATATATATTATTTATATATATATATATATATATGAAAAATCTCTAGTTTTATTTTCACCCCAAGAAGACGCAGATGTCACGAGTACGCGGAAGGTTACAAAATGTGAAGATGAGAGAAAAGACTGGGTATTATATGTAATGTCAATTGTTCTCTCCTGTCTTCTTGATCTCTCTTCTATTCACACCCACTAACCCCTTGTCTTAGTGGCTTTACTGCATTGCATGGGGTGAATTCGATTAAAAAATTTCGACTAAAAAAGTTCGCAATCAGCTGCAGGCATAAATATTGATTAAAGCAAAGATAAATACATTTAATAACAGTTTTTAAAAATATGTTTTTTTTTGTAAATAAGTGCTTTTATAAAGTATTATTTACAACAAATTTTTTTTCTAAAAAAAAACGTTTTTTAAAAAGATAAAAACAAGATGCATAGTAGTTAAAGACATTCGCTTTTATTCTGACTAAAATAAGAATGCATCATAATTCCTCATGTATAATACGCCTTCATCCAAAATACGCACACCTAAGATTGTGCTGAAAGTCTGAAGAAATGTTTCTACTCATGCATAATACGCATCCCTTGTTTGGTAATCACACACTATAAATTGTACATTTCCAATTTCATTAAGGCCAGTGTTTCCTACTCTTATTTAAAAAATGGTTTTAATCATAGACTAGAATTATTCTAATTTAGTTTTATGATAATTCTTATTTTATTCTACGGCAATTTTTAAAAGACATTTTGTAGCCGTGCATAATACGCACCCTTGATTTCGCTTATTATTTGCTTTTTATTTTTAGGAATTACGGTAAGAGAAATTCAAATCAGTTCATCAAAGATGCCAGCGCGGTGAAAATTATGAATGCCGCTAAAGAAACGAGCAAGTTTACAAAAACAATATAATAATATATGGCTTGTTTTCACCACTCACGTTTTTATTTTTGTTTCTTATTTGTCTAGGTTGCTAACAAATATCCATTGTGAACATCTCGAAAATATATTTTGAAGTATAGTGAAAAAAAAAAAGGTACTATTCTTTATTCATACCCAGAAGCTTCTAAAACAAAGATATACTTCGCTGAACGGATGTTAGAACAAGGATCTTACACAGACTTCGACTTTAAGTATTAAAATATTCTTTTTGTGCATAAATTGAAATGTGTTTGACAATTGATAGACAGGCCGGCCCTGACAATATGTAACGTCACAATTATTGACCAATGAAAAGTTTGACTTGAAGATGGTAATCATCGGAAGTGCAAGCACTGAGTCGGAAAACTACCAAGAACAATTTACTATGATCTTGATTAGGAGTATAAGTATGGTTGAAAGCGTTCGCTCACAAATATTAGAACAATCCTTACCCTCATTGAATTCATATACATGTTGTTTTGTACGTCAACAGGAAAAACTAATTAAAAAATTAAATAAAGCATTCCTTGTCTATTGTTTTTAATCAAGCTTGCATCAATGAAACAGTACAGCCACAACTTCCACACACAGAGACTCTCTATCTTATATATATATATATATATATATATATATATATATATATATATATATATATATATATATTATATACAGGGTGTCCATAAAGTTCGTGTGCACTTTAAAAAATTTATAACTTTATTTTTATTTGCGATAGAAATAATCTGTAAAAGATGTTATAAAGTTTAATGTACCTAGTTTTAAGTATAGCTAAAATAACTAATGGGAATTCAGGCATTACTGTAAATAATTTGGTAAATGTTTTCCGTGAACTGCAAAATCGTATTACCCTTTGTATTGCTAATGATGGAGGACACGTGGAAACTTAAATAAAATTTCAATAAAACCTTAAAAAAAATAGATTTACTTCTTTCTAATCCTTTTAACAAATTATTACCAAGGGCAGCAGACCATATGTGGCAGCAATTTTCTAAGCATAGATGAATGGTATGACTTATAGATATGTAAGAGAGATTCCAGAGAGAAAAGTGTCGTGCATGACACAGTGAATCAACTTTCTTACAGCTGACCAGGCAAATTCACTTTTGTGTTCATATAGTCTTTTGTTTAAACTTCTTGAAGTTTCTCCAATATCTTCTTTCTGGCAATCCTTGCAGTTGATAGAGTGAATTTGACTACATTGCAAAAAACGATTTAAAAAATTCTTTCAAAAATTATTGTACAACTAAAACTAAAAGGGACAATTTTTGCATTGATTGAATTAAAAAATGAAAACATTTGTTCGCATAGAAGGAAAACAAAACACAAAAAAATTAAGTCTACCGGCTTGCACATTCAACATAAGTTTCATCCATATTAATATTACATGGAAAAACGTGCCTTCCGACGATTTTTTTGAACCTGCAGACTATTCCACACTTAAAATAAAAGAAACAAATACAATAGCTAGTCTACTCAAACACGTATACCCACAAAATAACGAATAACAGTAATTATATATATATATATATATATATATATATATATATATATATATATATATATATATAGAGAGAGAGAGAGAGAGAAAAAGATAGATAGATAGGTTGAGCATTCTTTATTCGAAATTCCCAAATCCGAAATCCTCAAAGATCTGAAGGTTTTTTTTAGCTGATGGCATAACTTGCTACATATAGAAAATATCAGGAAACACAGGGAAAGTTCCTAGTTGTTGTAAGGGACGTCATCTTCAATCGGTATGGCTTTCCCAGTCCAGATATGTAGCCTACATTGGCGCCATATTCTTTTGTTAACGATCGTCACAGCAACACCTTCATTCGTTGATTACTTACCAAGTGTTTCGCGCTCAGTAAAGTTATTATTATTCAAAACATCAAAAAGCCCTGCATGCATAAACTTTGATGTTGATCATATTTTATACACGTAGAGAAAGTACAAAATATTATTTTTACGGGAAGTCTTAATTTCACCACTTACAAATCCAAGTGAACATTACAAGACTAGCTTCATTCCTTCGAATTTTATGTACACAAATAGGATTAAATCTTATATAAAAATACATTCAGGATATATGTTATTTATATCTAACTACCTTCAGGGTATATGTATAAACTGTGTTATGAAATGTAAAGGGACAGCGTGTTTATGCTGCACCATTTTATAAATATTATATACAAATTAAATAATGAGAACCGAAGAACTTCCGGCCCAAGAATTTCGGATAAAGATTCTCAACATATATATATATATATATATATATATATATATATATATATATATATATATATATATATATTCGACCCGGGTTCTAATCTCACCCCGGTTGATTTGTCAGAAAGGAGACTTATCGGTATGGAGATGGACGATCCCAGCGTGCAGCACCTTTGGAAAGTGCCTGAAAACCATGCCACGTGTTGACCCAAGTCTTGTGAGTGAAATTGGGTAGACAGAACACTTGGGGGACTCTCGATAGCTGTGCTAGCACGTAGTCACAAGTCATCGTGACGGAGGGTTTGTGTGTACTGGCCTTGTTCAGATTGTTGATCACGCTAGATAACACGCTCTCTTCCAAAAACTGTAACTAAGGTCTGGTCAGCATAGTTGCAGTATAAACCACAGGTGGGCTTTGTGGGTGGTGAGCAAACACAAATGTGCCTGAGCGAGCGTCTGCAATAGGGATTGACTAGCCGCCCTAATAGACGGGTATCCTCGAATACGAATGGTCAGCTATATATATATATACATAATGCAAAAGATAGCTTATGTTGCGAGGTTTGTGTAGAGTGCTTGATAGTTTTCCTGCGACATTGGCATCACACAAAAAATTATTAAAAAAACTGAAAAACTCGTGTTTTTCGTATTACTTAAAACAAAAAGTTGAATAACTTCCTCATTTTTTATCCGATTTTCTTCAAACATATCGCGAAAATTTCCCATCATGTTAGAAATAAGATAGTGTGGTTTTAGTCATGCTCGCCTTCGCACGTATAACGAAAAAACACGAAAAATTTTCAATGAGTCGCAAATTGTGTTACGTGAATATTTGGTTTAGATTATCCCAGTTAAGTGGACGAAATCTGCGATAAATTAGGTCCAAAATCGGTTTTTGCCATTTAACCAATAGTTTCTTCATATGATTCCATCCTAAATTGGCATTCGAACAACCTTTGATGCAGAGGTTTTTTGAGAAGGACTACTGAAGCGTTAAAAGAAAAAAAAATCCCGAAGAAGCTCTTATTAATCCCAGCTTTACAATAAACGCGCGAAGAAGGAGGGGTGCGTTCATGTGTTTGCATTTCAATCAAGCTCTCATGCTTCATCCCTCTTTTTGTTTGGTTATTAGATTTGTGAACAATGCCATACTACTTGAAAGTTTTTAGGGCCATAGGAAATTTACTGAATATCTAAAACATTGTAACAATTTAACCCCGAGCAACGGCCACACAAGCTATTTTTATCGATAGATTCCCTTAAGAACAATCAAACACTTGCAAAGTCACACTGTAAAAAAGATGAGGGGTGAATAGCTTAGTATACCAACGGATGATTCATGCAAGCATTACTAGAAATTTTTTTTTCAGAGATAACATGTGAAATACGTATACGCACTGAAAATAACGTTTATAGAAATAAATAATGTTGAAAAATATACATTAATATATATATATATATATATATATATATATATATATATTAGCGAACCAACCTCATTCGATTCGTATTCAGTTGGTGAGATGTAACTTCCACTCGAGCAGCTTCTTCCTATGAACAGCAGCGTTGTAGAACCAACTTCCAGGACGATGCTTCCCTTATCATAACAATCTTTTCCTGTCTCGGGTTAAACACTATCTTTCTCATATATACCCATAAACTGTGCCCCTTACTTTTTAACTCTAGTATGAGTGGCTCTTGCGCCTTGTACAAGATAATTATCATTTTACCGTCGAATTCTTGATGGCATCATCGCCTTGCTTGGGGTGAAATGATTAAAAAAATGTTTTCTTTATTTCTGGATTTTTAACATTTTTTTTAATTCATTCATTTTTACTTGGGCACTTCGCGATGTTGTAATAGTTACCAAGCTTGTCTTCCTAGATCAATTACGATTGAATAGTGAGTTCGATTTTCCCTGGGTACCCCAGACGTTCGACCTTATTTCACATCTAAGATACGCTTAGAAAATTGCCATTCTTTTTCTCATTATCATTCTTTTCTTTATTCCTAGATTTTTCACTAATTTATTTCTTTCAATCATTCTTTCTTTCTTTCTTTGTATTTATTTCCTGTCTTTTTATATTTTTCACCGCTTTCTTCCTTCTCACTATTCTTTCTTTCTTTCTTTCTTTCTTTCTTTCTTTCTTTGTATTTATTTCCTTTCTTTTTATATTTTTCACCGCTTTCTTCCTTCTCACTATTCTTTCTTTCTTTCTTTCTTTCTTTCTTTCTTTCTTTCTTTCTTTCTCAGTATTTATTTCCTTTCTTTTTATATTTTTCACTGCTTTCTTCCTTCTCACTATTCTTTCTTTCTTTCTTTCTTTCTTTCTTTCTTTCTTTCTTTCTTTCTTTCTCAGTATTTATTTCCTTTCTTTTTATATTTTTCACCGCTTTCTTCCTTCTCACTATTCTTCTTTCTTTCTCTCTTTCTTTCTTTCTTTCTTTCTTCTCACTATTCTTTCTTTCTTTCTTTCTTTCCAACCATCGTATTTTCATTGTTCTTTCATTTCTCTCTCTCTTTATTTTTCATTTATTTTCCTTCTATTCTTTTTTCCTTTTCTTCCCACTGTTTTCATCTTTATAACTTTCCTTTTCCTCCTTATTGTTTTCATTGAGTTTGATTGGAGCTTGTGTATTTGCTTATTCTTTCTTTCTCTGATGTCTTCTCGAAATGAAAAGCCCTCAGCGAATATAACCTATACCTCGCAATCCAAAAATGTTCCCAACTACGTCTAGTTAGACCTTTAAAACTACTCAAACTTTCATGCGACTGCTTTATTCCTGTCCGGACAAGGCCTCAATTTCTTGACCCGCTGCTCTCATCTCTACTCATATTCTGAATTAGAAAGCTATTTCTATTCTGGTACTCCACGAATATCTCTGGCCACTTCAGATCTTCTCGAAGATAAATACCTTTTATTTATTTGTATTTTTGCTATGTTCTTCAATTGTAATTATTATTATTATTATTATTATTATTAGCATTAATATGGTAATAGCCATTCAAAATCATTTCCTAAAGTTATTTTTCATGGTATTTTTATCTAATTTTGAACATTCTCTCATCGAAGCTTCCGTCTCCCTGTGTTTGAAGATTTTACTAAAATTTCATGAAATCGACTCAACGGCTATTTTCACATTTACGAAATTACATCTCTTTGTTATAAGGCTTTTCATAATGACGTAAACATAGGCGAGATAGAGTAGGAACAGTGATACACTATGAACTGTGCAAACTATCTGGGTTCAACTTTGACTAATAATAATAATAATAATAATAATAATAATAGAACAAGTAAGAAGGTATTCGAGAAAATAAAAGGAGCAAAATACTCTGGAATTTCGAGATCCAGATCGATCACTCCGTCCAATAAAGTAGGAGAAATCGAGTTGCTATGAAGTGTGGGGGGGGAGGGTTGCAAGCCTGGTTATTTCAGCAAACCAGAGTGATGAAAAAAAGTAAGCAAATAGAGAAATACCAGGACCTCGCTCGGTATTGTATAAATTGTGAAAGGTTAGGAGGATATCGTTAATGTCTGGTGAATTGGGAGCTGTAAAAACATAAGAGAACCAGTATTACGTATTTGAAGCCGAGATGAAAGGGAATGATAATCTCTCAAAAGAAAAAAAAACGAATTACATTTATCGAATATTAGAACTGAAAATGCAAGTCATGTAAGAATGCACGTTGAGGAACTGAACAGCGATGAAGATAAAAGAAGAGATAAAACAATGCAGGAAAAATCCTTAGAAAAGCAGTAAAATCACAAGAGAATAATTTTGAATAATGAGAAAAAATGGATTTTTTTTTCCATTCCCATCGCTAAGGTTCAGGAATCATAGATAATTATTATGGCTTTAAATCCAGGAGGAGGCATAGTAGAGTAATGAGAAAGAGATGGCTTTAGGAGAAGGAACCGGAAGTCCAATCCAAAACAGGATACGAGGGCTAAACCTTTACTCCTGTTCAAAAGACGTGGAAGGAGTGTGAACCGGTCGATTGAAAGAGAAAAAAAAATGAAAGTCTGCTGGAGTAAAAACTCAAATTAGGACAGAAGAACGGATTTAGCATTATTAAACAAAACAAAAAAAGAAAAGAAGAAAACATATCCGATGATCGATTTATTTGTCCTGAATGATTCTGAAAGAAAGCGAAAACGCAGATATGTATCTCAACTTTGCCAGAAAACTGAGATAATTGTGGAACATGGAGGTGACAGTGTCAGAAGTTATACGAACACTTGCAACGGTCCTTAACAGCTCAGGAAAAGATCTGTATGAACGATAAATAAAGGGAAGCGTTGGGTCTATCCAGCCAATGCCATTACTGAAATCAACTAGAATACTGGGAAGAGTGATTGAGTACCGAGAATGGATTGATTGCTTGATTCGTTTTTACGGCTTATCAACCCTTTTCAGGTTATTTAAAGCCAGGAAAATGTACTTTTTTCTTAGATTTCCAGAATCTTTTTTTGGAGATAATAACAGTTTAGTAATACAAGTCTTACTAATGAACCCATAGCTGCGGGGAAAGAGGTGAAATCCTACCTATCCCAAGGATATTTGCGCGCAAGTGAATTTAAAAAATCCAGCGCGAATTGAAACTCGGCACTTCGATTAACAATTACGAGCTATTATCCATTACACCACTCGCACATCCAAAATTATAGCACCTGGTAGTCCAAAGCGGTCACCCATCTAGGTACTGGCAGGGTTCGATGTTGCTTAACTTTGGTGATCGTACACAATCATTTGAAAAGGTTAAGAATGTAGTGATTTGGAAAACATTCAGCCGGGAGTTTGTTCCACAAAGCAATAGGGAAAAAGAAGCTGTCCGAAGAGAATTTACTTCTTACTAATGAAATACTAAGAGGTCGGAGATGAATTATCCATTTGTGCGCGACATGGAGAGTCCCACATGTAAAGGTCAGTTGTGGCGGAATCAAGTAATGTAGCTCGTCAGAGCATATGGCATGGCGTAGGCAATCGAGTAAATCACTCCTTAGAGGGATTTCGCATTATTTATCATCTCTCAGTTGCGTCTCTGTCCTTGGACAGAGTGCGCTCAGGGGCTTCTCGGTCTGAGGACAGAGGGGCAACTGAGGAAAATTATACTGAAGAGGTGCCCAGCCCTGGGGAACAGCTGCCTGAGGCCGCGCCCTCCCATTGCACAAGAGGGAGGGATCGGTGCTCCGCACTGAGGCCAGCAACCGACGGTTGCGGGGGGCTGAGGGGAATTTTTGACCCTGCCCTTGTGCACGCGCTCGGGTCCCCACATTAATCCGACCTTGTGTCACATCTCATTCTCGTGGGGAATGAGTAAACGCCGAGTAGAGAGAGAGGCTTGCTACATTTTAGTCTGTGGGGAAAGGTGTAGAAAATAATTATTCACCTACAAGGCCGCGTAAATGCTTTTGAACTCTATCAAGCCAGGTAAGTGAAGACTGTGCAGCTACAGCCCAGATATGGCAGAAGCACTCCATTTTTGGTCTGATCTAGCTCTTGTAAAAATATATTATAGCAGTGGGGAGTCACTGGAGCGGCACAATGATCCGGCCATTTTCCAGTATCTTTTGCAATAGTTCGTGTATACGTGTCCCACTTGAGGTCTAGAGTGAGTTTGAGTCCCAAACGAGACGTTTAAGGTAAGGAGCCTCCCGGAAAGAACTATCATGATAGGAGGAAGTTCATGATCTGTTCAAAATGGTTCTATTCATCTGGTCTACACTATCATACCCAGTTCGAACTGCATCCTAGCTGATAATCACACTGACTTACAACCGATATAGATCTGGACATTTCCGTGATGTCAAGGCAAGGTGGCGCCACTCACCATGACATTTACATACTGCTATATCATGACTTTAAGCATGTTAGAGAATATATTAGTGATATAGTTTAATTGTCTGTCAAATGCACTGACATGTTTTTCCATACATTTAAAATTCCAAATGTTATGTTTCTGTTTTCTAATTCTTCCACACCCAGTAACCCTTTGTGTCTCAGTGGCTTTATTGCCTTGCTTGGGGTGAACTTGTAAAGCCAATGAGAAACAAGAGGTTACTGGGTGATGGAAGAATTAGAAAACAGAAAATTAGTATGAAGCGGAAACAAAGGAAGAGTAATCAGTATGACAGCAGATAGCGATGACATTACATTTAAATATTTGAAGATTAAAATTGACTGGATAGCATGGAGTCGGAAGAGATTTCCACAAGCGAGAAGTGCGAGCAAGGAAACTGTCAGCATAAAATTTAAGGTTATATCTAGCCAACTCAACTGTAAATTGATGGTGCCACGTCGCCACTCATCTACTGCGCTTAAATTCATAAAGTTGAGATACCATAGCGAAGAGCCGGTATTTACCCGACTTCCCGTTGAAGCAGGTTTTTATGTGGGGCAATTCCGAGTAGACCCCGCATACACTGGGTCGGGTTTATCTACCACCCCAGACGAGACCCTGCTCTTCAGCATTGCCTCATCTGGGTTCTTCCCCGCCTGGAGGCAGAGAATCGACAAGAAGATCACTTCTGGGATAGCAAAGAACTCATTCGAATAATTACGATGAAAGTATTTCTAGAAAAGTTATAGGCAGATGGTGGGAAAGTGATTGAAGCCGAAATGCCAGATAAAGGACTCACAATATTGCTGGACATGGGGAAAAGAATGGAGGCCCTACTGAGAACCGAACTCAATACACTGAGAAGTTTTGTTGGCAAATCATTTATCGGGACCTGCAAATGTATCGATGTAAGAACATCTTACCGTTTAGTTTCATAACGTTCCACGTATTCTGTCGCGAACAGAAAGGCATACGTAGACACATGCATGCGGGTAAACAGACACACAGACGTACCTGTTTACTGACACGTAGACACACAGGTGTACGTGCATGCAGAGACACAGACGCAAGACGGACACATACATCGAGACGCACAGCAGTAAACACGGATACAAATGTTTTTCTTGTTTGGAGCAATCACAACGGAAACTAGTAGAAAATTGATAAAATTCCTCTCGCATATAAACAGATGTGTATGTGTATGCGTAATTGTGTGCTGGTGTTTATGCGTTTGATTATACGGTGTTATATATATATATATATATATATGTTTGTGTGTGTATGTGTATGTGTTTATGTGCGTGAATTTATCTGTGTGTAATGTGTATGCGTGTGTATTTTATATTGATTATATGAATATATGTGTGTGTATATTTGTGTTCATTTATATGCGTGTGCGTATTTGTGTGTGTGTAATGTGTGTGTGTTTGCTGGTGTTTATGTATTTGATTATGCGATAATATATGTGTGTATAATTTGCGTGTATTCGTGTGCTGATGTTTATGTGTTTGATTATACGATAATATGTATGTGTTTGCGTGTAATTGTGTGTGTGTGTGTTTGTGTGGGTGTGTAAAGTATGTGTGTATTTTTGTGCTAGTATTTTATGTGTTTCATTATACAAAATTATATGTGTGTGTATATTTGTGTGCGTGTGCAATGAATATGTGTGCGTATTTGTTTGCTGGTGTTTATGTGTTTGATTATACGTTAATATATGTGTTTGTGGATGCGTTTTGAGTGCGTATGTGTATGTGCGTGTGTATATTTGTCTGCTGGTGTGTACGTGTTTGATTATATGGTAATATATACATACGCACAAACCCGCATGTTACACATTGATAATACATATATTGATGATACACACACACACACACACACACACACACACACACACACACACAAATACATACATACATACATACATATATGTATAACTATATTAATAGACATATGTGTATTATTAAACATCCTTGTTTTTAAACAGTGTAAGTTTATGTCTACCGGCCTGTACATTCGAGATTAATAATAAAGATATATATATATATATATATATATATACAATAAAAACAATAAAAAATAAAAAGTTAAAAAATTAAAATCTTTAGACACACTGGGTTGTAGATTAATATTCTTTCGTTTTTATTATTATTTCATTTACATTCCTCGACTAGTTTCGGCCAACATGGCCATCATCAGGAGAGAAAAAAATCTGCTTACTGGTAGCAGTGAACTACAGAAATGAATGTCTTGATGGAGAAAATGAACTTTGTCTGTAGTCTTCATTTATTTTTTTTATTTTTAACATGACTTTTGGTATATATATATATATATATATATATATATATATATATATATATATATATATATATGTTATTGCTATTACTAGTATCGACGTTGTATTGAGTGGATATATGTATTCGGATAAAATCCTAGAATTGTAAACAGTATAATTGATGTCTACTGTACACATACGCCCAATGTGTGTGTGTGTACTTTGTTTGAATTACATGTGAAATAAAAATAATCAATTATATATATATATATATATATATATATATATATATATATGTATGTATATATATATATATATATATATAAAGGGTTTTCAATAAATTGAACCGATTTTAAATGTGAGTTAAGTTTAAGCGTCTAATGATATTTTTCTTTTTCTTTCAGATTTAACAACTTAAGTCTTGAGCAATTTCAACCATGGAAAGATTAACAATCAAGCAACGTGTTAAAGTTATCGAAGCTTATTACGAAAATGGACGTTTAAACAGAAATGTACTTAGCGATTTTTTGGTTAACATAATCGACCAACTGAGAGTGCAATTGGAAACGATGTAACGTTGTTGTGGTGAGGTTCAATACCTACGCGCTATGACGAATAGAGGTGTCTGGATTTTCGGTCACATTCTCGTGCATTCCAGCAATGTTTTCAGCTGAACAGCGTAAACTTGTACGTAATGGTGTTTTCACATCTGCTACCGACACAGTTCGAATTTACGAACAATTTTTCCAATTGAACTCTTGAAACCTTAACAGGTCGTATGATTGTTAATCTTTACGTGGTTTAAATTGCCAAATACTTAAGTTAAATCTGAAAGAAAATTAAAAAAAAATCATTAGACGCTTAAACTTAATTCAGATTTAAAATCGATCCAATTTATTGGGACACCCTTTATCTATATTATTGATTAATGAATATCAAACGCTTAAAATCCCATAGGTAATTTTTTTTTATTTCAGCAGACATTTAAAAACATCTCTCAATATTTCAGACTTACAAACAATAATAATTTGATTTTAATTTGTCTACATACTCCTGGAAATCACATACGGATTACCATATTTTATTATTATTATATATATATATATATATATATATATATATATATATATATATATATATATATATATACTTATGACCCCGAATGAACAGGCCTGTAGACAAAACTTACACTGTTTAAAAAACAAGGATGTTTAATAAAACACATTATGTCCATTAAATATAAGTTTATATATATATATATATATATATATATATATATATATATATATATATATATATATATATATATAAATATTTCCAAAATTGGAAGTAAAGTCCGATGATCCGCAGTCCTTTAAAAGGGCTGTGGGGAAATAATTTATTACATGGAACCTTAAATGGTCTGTTTTTCTTTAAATTATTTGCTTTGGATTTACATTGAGCTCTCTGGATTTTATCCTCCTTGGGTTTACCCATACGGATTACCTAGTTTTTCATAAACTATATATATATATATATATATATATATATATATATATATATATATATATATATAGAGAGAGAGAGAGAGAGAGAGAGAGAGAGATAAACAAACAGATAGATGTGTGTTAGAATGTATAATCAGTATATTAATATGTAACGTGCTAATTTATCAATTTATCCATCGCATCCTCTCTCTTTCTCTCGATATATATATATATATATATATATATATATATATATTTATATATATATATATATTAAAGACATTTTTATGTTTAATGTTCTTTTTTAATAAAATAAATTGTCGGACATTGTCCATTTCTTAATATATATATATATCGAGAGAGAGAGAGAGAGTCATTCACAGACAGACCGTTTCGTTGTTTCACAACTCATCATTGTGAATGGATCGAAACCCGACTGATTTGGTGTCAGTCGGAGATTTTACCCCTAAGTTATTGGCGCACAGCAGAGGTGAAGATGAATTTAAACATATTTATTTTTAGACAAACACGCCAGGCACCGAAGAACTCGATTCGTTTTACTGAAGAGTCTTGCATCAGCAATAGTAATAGTCACCGTTTACAAGTTCACCTTTCTCCCTGAAAGACTCAACCGAAATAATTCTTTCAGGAGCATATATATATATATATATTGTCTTCCGCACGGCAGGGATATACATATAACGGGACACCCTGCATTTCTTTAATAATCAGCTTAAAATAAATAAGTTTTTTGTATTTTTTTTTTAAGTAAAAGATAAAATTTCAGTAACTGCAGTATATATGTTTTTATTATTCAGTTTTTCTCCTGGTTTCGCTTTCTACTAAAAAGTTAAAATCTGGATTCGTCTGTCCGCAACACATTTTGCTAAATTATGTATGTGTGTATGTATACATATGTATGTGTGTCTGTGCGCGCACGTGTGGATTTAAAGCTTATTGAATTAAACTCCTATCAAAGTTAGCTCTAACTGAAACAACATTATCACAATGAAAGGAAAATAATTTATTCAAGTTTCACACTACTAATCTTATCACCTTTAGCAGTTGCATGGCATTATGTCAATAAATCTAGCCATTTGACAGAGCGCGGGGAATATTAGTTTCATGCCGTTGCAAGGTGCATTACTACACATTGAACATAAATATTCTTATCTTGAATTTAAACTCACAGATTTACTTGTTGGTTGTGATAGTCACAAGATTTCAACATGCTAAGCTCTAATAACGTCTTCATTAGACCTAGCGTAGGAATGAATATTATATAGGTGTCTTTAATTAAGTAAATATATTAGGCTTAAGACTGATAAGATACAATAAAGTTCACCAACGGTTGGCCCATTTCCTCTTTATTTGACCTTTTGACGTATTAAGTTTAGTCAAATATCAATTCCTAGAAAGAAAAACAAAGTACAAGAAAGTGGAAGTGAACTCTATTTTCATTTTGTTTTTAAAATACTAAGTGCATTGTCCTATCGGCCTGTTCATATGCCTATTGGTCAGTAACTTCAAACCAGAAAGCCACAAAGAGAAAGCAACTCGAATAGAAGGCCATGAGGACACACGTAAGGTCTTGAATGAACCAATTACTGTTCACCGCATCAACAAACAATGGTGAATGTTAATCACGTCAAAGATGAACTTTTAAATGGACGCATGTTTTCAGACAACGCCCGATTATATCTTTTTTCGTTCATCATTGTAACCATTTTACCTGAATTTTCTTTGCAGATATCATGGTTTCTTGCAGAAAGTTCCGTTTCTTCTTCTGTTTCTTGTCTGTCGTTTCTATAATTTTCTCATTTTCTTTCTGGGTTTAATTGATGTTTTTCAGACGTAGAAATCTTTCTTTCAAATAGTCATTCTTATTCTCATTTTCCTTTCTTTCTTTCTTTCTTTCTTTCTTTCTTTCTTTTCATTCTTTCTTTCTTTTAAATAGTAATTCTTATTCTCATTTTTCTTTCTTTCTTTCTTTCTTTCTTTCTTTCTTTCTTTCAAATAGTCATTCTTATTCTCATTTTTCTTTCTTTTCATTCTTTCTTTCTTTCTTTCTTTTTTTTCTTTCTTACTTTCTTTCTTTTAAATAGTAATTCTTATTCTCATTTTTCTTTTTTCTTTCTTTCTTTCTTTCTTTCTTTCTTTCTTTTCTTTCTTTCTTTCTTTCTTTCTTTTAAATAGTAATTCTTATTCTTTTTTTTCTTTCTTTCTTTCTTTCTTTCTTTCTTTCTTTCTTTCAAATAGTCATTCTTATTCTCATTTTTCGTTCTTTCTTTCTTTCTTTCAAATAGTCATTCTCATTTTTCTTTCTTTTTTTTTGAAATAGTCATTCTTATTCTCATTTTCCTTTCTTTTTTTCCTTCTTTATTTCTCTTATGAAATAATTATTTTATTTTTTCTTTCAAATAGCCATTTTCATTTCTTTTTCTTTCTTTGAAATAATAATTCTTATTTTAATTTTTACAGTCATTCTAGTTTTAATTTCTTTCTTTCTTTCTTTTCATTGTCGTGTTTTTGCTTTCTTTTCCACCTTTCCTCGTTTCTCATCTTCTTCGTTGCCAAATATTTTATTTTTCCCTCGCATTGTAATCACTTCCGGTTCCGCTTACTACCTGTCTTCTTCTCTTTAGATCTCATAGTCAAACAATAGCGCCCATTGACAAAAGACACGTAAACACGTCGACGTCGCATTGGGAATCGGGTAAATAGTCGTTGGGAAAATATATCTTTTTCCATTATCCCCACTTCCGGTCCCACATACATTGGCTGTTTGTAGTTTCAACAATGTAACCTGATTAAATCATCAGACAACAAATAAATAAGAAGATAGGGATGAGTAGTGGGTAAAAAAACAAAAAAACAAGAAAAAACATAGGTGCCATTTTTATTTAAATCAGTTCTAATGTATACATATATGTATTCATGGAGATATATTCTTAAACTCTCTCAAGATAATGCATGTCAACGTAGCGAACGCACTTATTTAGCAAAATACGTACATTGTGATGATTGATTGATAAAAATTGTGAGAAGGGCGTATGGTTGGTTAGCTGTTGGCAACAGAACTTTCATTCATTTGCTTTCAGCTAAAGTCTCAACCTTTGAGCACAAAACTTACAAGGAACGATACTAAGAACATTTTTTTTTTTTTAAAACGTCACAATTTTAGGTTGATAACTTGTCCGGGGGACTAATTTGTATCTTTATACCAGGTATATTTACCCGGCCTCACTCACTAAAACAGGATGTAACAAAATGTCGTTTTTCCCTTGACACTGCTATTATTTAAAAAGATATTTAAAACTTAGTTAAAATAACAGCGGTGTCAGGGGAAAACTGTCCTTTTGACATTACATTTTTTAAGGACAAGAAGGTCCAAGGACGTTTTTTAAGGACACGAAGATCCAAGGACGTTTTTTAAGGACACGAAGGTTCAAGGACGTTTTTTAAGGACACGAAGGTTTTTATATACTGTTGTAAACCTAGGAAAAGGTTACTGAATAAGAATAACCAAAACGAAGGTTGTAAATGGAACAATAATATATATAACAGAAACAACGTATAAGATTCGCCAGCGGCGTGTAGTAAGTAATCAACTGCTAGTGGTGAGCTAGAAGTGAGTCAAGTTGAATCTAGTGAAGATATTCACTAACCTCCCCACGCGATTAGATGTGGCACAAGGCCGAAAATAATGTGGGGTATGCGAGCCCGTATGCGTGTGTTTATTAGGGGGTTAGATAACATTTTCATTTTTACTTGTGCTCTCATCCAAAAACCCTAGACATTAAGAACCCTAAACATTAGATGGCTGATTTGGTTACTTTAATGACATGTCAACCGTTGTAGGCTTATTTGATGGCGAATATAAGTCTTATACAAGAAACTCCCAGTGGATTTAAAGGTGAACATAGGTCCAGTTTACGCTTGAGCAAAAAAATGTCAAAGGTCCAATTTATCCACAAGCAAAAAAGATAGACATAGGTCCGGTTAAAAAGGGAAATATAGATTCTGTTTACACTAGAGTCCAAAAGTAGACATAGGTCCGGTTTATAGCAATGCCCTAAAGGTAGACACATGTTCAGTTAATACTAAATTCTACGTAACCATTGGTCCGGTTTATGATAGTCAATATAGTAGACATAGGTCCGGTTTACACTCGTGTCCTGAAGGTAGACACATATTCGGTTAACACTAAATTCCATAGCTGGCATCGGTCCGGTTTATAATAGTCAATTTAGTAGACATAGGTCCGGTTTACACTAAAGGTAGACACATGTGCGGTTAACACTAAATTCCACAGGTAACCATCGGTCCGGTTTATAATAGTCAATATAGTAGACATAGGTCCGGTTTACACTCGTGTCCTGAAGGTAGACACATGTTCGGTTAACACTAAATTCCATAGGTAGCCATCGGTCCTGTTTATAATAGTCAAAAAATAGACATAGGCCCGGTACACGATAGTCAGTATGGTAAACAATTGTTATGTTTATACCCTAATCCCAAGTATTAAAACAAAAGATGATTTCTTTTGGTCTTGTCACCTCTTCAGGGGAGGGAGTTGACGTACTCTAAGCTCCACCAAATAGAGTAAACACTGTAGCGTATGGAAGTTTTGACATAATTGATTTCATAAATCTATTTACCGTTTACATAAACAAGTGCGGAACAAATAATTTGTGGCAAACTTCATCAGTACAGTAGTAAAATTATTTTAGAACCATCCAAAATTAACGGGGTGGGGGTTAATAGCCTTCAGTCCAGTGGCGTCCCACGGATAAACAAAATGAAGTCATAAAGTCATAATAATTTAAACCAAAAAATAAAATCAAACAGTGAGAGAGAAAAGAAACAGAAAGAAAGAAAGATTTTTTTTCAGCTTGTTTTCTTTTTGCATACAAATTTTAAAGTTGTTTGTCCTGTTGTGATCGAATGAGTGCGATGGCAAACGAGCAGCCATTATGGAAGTGAATCCAAGTGAAGATATTCACTAACCTCCCCACGCGGTCAGATGTGGCACAAGGTCGAATTTAATGTGGAGATTCCAAGCCCGTAGGCTCGGCTAGAAATTCCTCATATACACGGGGTTGGGGAGCTTTCTACAATCCCCAAATGAGACTCTGCCCTTTGACATAGCCTCGTCTGGGTGCCTCTCTGTCCGGAGGCAGAGAGTTTGACAAGCACACTTGGAAGTGAATCCAATTGAAGATATTCATTAACCTCCCCATGCAGTTGTTTGTCCTTCTGTGATCGCATGAGTGCGATGGCAAACGAGTAGCCATTATGGCGGGTGGCGGGTGCATAGGAAAGGAGCGGAACACCTGGTGGTTGTTTTCCATGCTTATACTGTAAAGAATGAGGTGAAGTGTAAATAAATTGATTTCAGAAGGAAGTCGAAGTGGGGACAATGTTACTGAAAATAAAAAAAGGCAAGAAAAAAAAAAAAAGAAGAAAATAACATTTGCATGCACCAAAAGAGCAAATGAATCTCTATCTATAAAAGGCAGGATGTGTGTGTGTAACGAATGCACGGCCACAATTTACGACGGATTTGCACCAAAATTGACATGCACATGCTCTAAGTTAGCAACAAGGCCAAGACCGACTTTACATTTCGCAACTCCCATTGATAGTGGAAATAATCGATTTTTTCATGCTTTTACGGCAGTTTTCATGCAGTTTGCGGCCATTTTCTACTGGCCAGAGTGAGAGCCAATAGCTGGCTGCCACGAATAGGCAGGAAGATTCTATTGGCCAGCGCGAGAGCCAACAGCTAACTGACACGAATGTTAGCTAGCATGCTAGCATGCAAATAAATCGATAGCTGCATTCGTCACAAGTGGGAAAAATTTAAATCTGAATGGCACTTTACTCCAATTGGCTCATTCGCTTGCTTAAACTCAACGTTGATTCTGATTCCGCAGAACTGGGTTGGGTGTGAAAAAGTATTTGTTTTTAACATTCTTTTTTCATTCTGTTTTTTCAGTTACGAGTCCTTTTTTTTTAAAGCTTTGTTTAGTTCTTTTTTCGTAACAGATTTAATGTTTAGTATAGAGCTTAGAAAAAATTCGCAGTGTGAGATAGGCACGAAGTAAGGCATGTAGCAACATCAGCACGGCAAAGGGCACTCCTTTAAAGGCAAGGAAGGGCAAAAATATTTTAAGTCAAGTGATAGCGATTGCTGTATGAGTCGTACGATTTTTGAATCAAGCACGGGCAACGCCGGGCCATGCTGTTAGTATATAGATATTTACTCAGTTTAGCTGATTTTAGAAAAGATGAAATCAATAAGGAAGATTGTACAGTGTCATTTTTCCAAGTGTGAAGTTGTATGCGTTGATAATCCGTTGTCGAAATAGCAGAGTTCCCTGCGTTCAAAATATCGACTATTGATCTAGTGAGAAATACGAACTACCTTCTAATCAAATAAACTAAACGGGCAAAGGACGGGAAGCTATAGGTATTTAGTAGGCAGAAGTATGTGACAGTGAGGATCGAGATCACTTCTGGCTTATGGGATGAGCTTGTCAACCATTGTACTACTATCAGGCGTTAGCATGCTTACAAACACTACAGAAGGGCCCAAGAGGCCAACTACAAATTGGCGACCCCCAAAATCAAACGAGCACTAACATTTAAATATCAAGGAAGTATTTTAACGGAGGAAACGGGCGGCTCCTTTGAATAGCGAAAGTTGCCTTTCAAAAGTTAAGCAAAGTGTTAAGAAACAGGAAAATTTTGTTAGAAACAACGGTAAAGTACTGAATTGTTATGTATTTTGGTTACCCTATATATCAGTGAATGCTGAACAATCTCGTCACAGATGAAGAAAAAAAAACCTTTCCCACCCAGTCATGCATATTCTTGTTTATTTTATGGATCATTAAACCATGCAAATCTTAACCCAATTTACAGAGATCTGAGACTAATCTCTCTTAAGCTCAAACACAAATGATTACAGTTTGCTGGTCATTGTCATCGAGCAGACAGGGAAATCGTCTCATCCTTAACCCTTATGGCATCTTTCTGGAAGTGTCTTCTCACGAAAATTGACTTTACCAGGCACCATAGCTCGGGACTCAGGGCTGAACATTGGGGGATCTGGGGACAGCAATGCAGGACCGAACAATGAAGAAAGGAATTGTCAATGGAGTTCCAGTCAACTATAGGGAGCTCGAAGTATGATGATGATGATGATGATGATGGCGATGATGATAGTGATGGGTCATTATTATTAATAAAACAATTTTAAAAAAAATGAAATGTGTTACAACGACTTCAAAAACAGTAAAAGAATTAGTTAATACAAAACAAAATAATAACCTT